AAAAAGAAAAAGAAGAAAAAGAAAAGAGAATATAATAAAGAAAAAGAAAAGAAATTTATAAAGTAGTGACTTCCAACCTTCATTACAACAAGTTTAAACAAATTTAATAACTCTTCACCCCCATAAGGTTAAACAGGTATCTTTTTATCCCATATCCCATCCCTTATCTATAAGCAAATCCATAAAACATCAACTTTTCAATCCTGGTGTCAGCAAAAAGTCCATAAAGGGTTGCTAAAACATTGCAAAAAAAAAAGTCTTATTTTAATTGTGATTAAACAAACCAAACTTTATATTCCTTCCTTTTACTTCTAACAGTCTTAATCTTTAATTCAATCAAATAGTGTTGTAGGATTTGATTTCTTTTCATTCTTTTTTATTCCATTGCACAAATTTCTTCAGGACTTTAACTTGCAGAATTCTTCTAGGTTAGAAATATTCTCAGGACTCCTTGCATGCACTGCATGTTTGAGATCTCCCCAAAGATTCCCAATACTATTCAAGTCTCAGGACTTTGAAAGCCATTCTAAAACCTTTATTTTTTTTTCTTGTAAGTACTTTATGGTTGACTTGGAGGTATGGTTTTGACCATTGTCTTATGGACATACCCAACCTCTTTTCAGCTTCACTTGTTTTCATTGACTGAGGAATACTAATTCACTCAATTACTAATTCAGATGAGCCACAATTGTCAAAAATAGACAGAACCATGATACCAACCTGAGAGTCTAGGAGGATAAAAATATTTATTCATCTGTGAAATTGTCTTCAACTGGCAAACTATACAGTAGGCCCAACAAATCAATCACTTTTGGCGGCCTTACTCATAACAGATATTGCAAAATAAGAGGCAAAATTGGACAAGAGTCTTCAGACTGGATCTTATTTACCCTGTATTACTAGGTTTGGACATTTCTCCCAATCTACTCTGCCCATTTTGGATTGTAAATGGAACAAAATCTATCTAAAGTATATATTGACATACTTTTTAAAATGTATTTTTCTCTCGAAACAACACTTTGAGCTACAAACTACCACCAAACACTTACTTGAAAGGCACGAGTTTGGGAGCATAATAAAGTTCTATTCTGAACCTTTCTTTGTAAAGTGAAGATGTTCAGTATGTTCCATCCATACTGAATTCACAATATCAAATTATTCCGTTATTTCTATCTTCTACTGGCAAGTGAAACAATGTCATTCTTTTCATCATAAGAAAATTGTAGTGGACTTTTGCAAGTAGAGCATTTTGAGCAGCAGTTCTGTTGTAATTGCAGGAAAGTGGTGCACTCTAAAATTAAATATATAAAGAAAGCTTTTATTTTTTTCTAGTAGGCTTTTAAAAACTGAAATAAAGACAGCAGCAGCAGGAATTATTTTAATTAATGATAATATGGAATATCTATATCCTAAGTACAGAGATATTCTCCAGTTGCAAGAAATATTCTTACAGGAAAAGAAATCTAGATTTCACAGTTTGTGTCATGTTTAATTTTTAGTCTAACTTACAAAGAAGGTATCATAAAACGAAATCAATAATATATTGTTCTTTTTCATAGAATGCCAGATTCACCTGGTGAAATTCCAGAATATCCCTTCTTTGTATCAGTCAATGATTGGTTGGACTCAATAAAAATGGGCCAATACAAAACTAATTTCATGGCAGCAGGGTACACATCTATGGATCTTGTTTCAAGAATGAGTATTGAGTAAGTACGTTATTTACCAGGGTCTCTAACCTTTAGAGGATAGTGGGGAAGGTTGGAATTTAGAGAAAGTGCTAAGAAAACATTGCAAAATGGCAGGCATGAGTTGGTCAACAAATATTCATTCCCCAGAAAAACAAAATAGTAAGACTAAAATGCAAGCATTCATTGCATTTCAGATCAATTTACTCAACATGTATATTATCCAATATCCACTTATTGATAGTTTTCAGGCTGAAGAACAGCATGGAATGATTTGACTATTTCAGGTTTAAGAACAGCTTAGAGCAATTTGTTTTTGTACCTACTGTACTTTGACCAATAGTTCCTAAACTTACCTTTGTCTTGCAGTGACATTAGAAGAATTGGAGTTGGTCTTATTGGACACCAGAGACGAATAGTGAGCAGTTTACAGACTTTGCGATTACACATGATGCACATACAGGACAAAGGATTTCATGTATGAAAATTCTAGAAGCAACTGTGTTTTGTGCCTCAGCGTTTCTAAAATGGAAAATACTCTCACTTCTTCTTTCCGCTCTTCCCAGCTTCAAAAACTGTAACTTCTTGTTCATAATATAAACACAAAATATTTATGTTAATTCTTCCAGCTTGGAATTTTTACTTACATTACATAGTTCCTCCCTCAATGAACTGACAGTAACATCCTGGCCACCACTAAAAGACTGTTGCTACATGATGTTGAATGGCTTGGCATGGATGTATAACTTTGTATAACAGTAAAGTATTCAGAAAGCTTTCATCAACTTTTTTGAAAGTGAAGGCTTTCTTGGCTTGGAATTGCTACCTTCTTTATGTATTAGAGTTTGATGGTAGATTACAAAATAATAATAATAACAACAATAATAATAATGATAGGCATTTATTTTCAAGTTTTGTGACATTTAGCTTCCAATATAAAATGTGCAATCAAAAAAAGAACTTGACATATGTATTTATGTTATTGCTTACTAAATCCCAAATGTAGAGTTCTATTACTACATTTATTTTGTAATTATTACATTTAGTTTATGACAACTGATATGCTGGAATGGAAGCATAAGAATTCTTGGCCAAAATGAAAAGTTTATAATGAATTTTTGGTAAACAGATGTTTACAGAATTTATGTCTAAACAGACAGAAGTGAAGATACTGGCAAAGATGAATGCCCATCTTGTTTTTGTGATGCCAAGTGTTTAAAAGTATTTGTTTGAACATCAGATTTCTCTATCTTAGAAAGTTTAGAGTACATTGCCAAACTAATCTAACCATTGGCTAGTTTCATTGCTATTCATGTTTAAGTTTTTGTATCCTTCTACAACACTAAGCTAATCCCAAAATATATGTTTTAAGCAACATAAATCCATGATAGGTACCAGCTATTTTACACAATGCAGTTATGTAGACTTTATAAATATATATTTAAACTGAAAAAACATAAGAAACTGTTATTTACATATAAGGAAAAATGACTGTAAGCCATTTCATTGTGACATATTTAGCTTCTCTAGGCTAGGCAATTTTTTTAACATAGAAAAAATGGCATTTTTCATGAAACTGTCATGAAAAATGTCAGTTTAATTCTCATACTTTTCTATCATGGAAATGTTTTAAAGTTTTCCAATGAGTACAAATGGGAGAACATTCTAATTACTGCATTACTGCATTACTTTCAGGAAGGATCATCCTGTTAAACACAAATTGATCAGTATAGCATGGAGAAAAGATCTGTTCCAAAACAGAAAAGGAAATAGCAGCATTAAGAATGTTATCCATTTGAGTGGAAAATGAGGCTGATGTATAGGAATTGGAGTAACTGATCACATGGTGCTCATAAATAGCCACTTCAACAGATACCGTGGATAAGCCAGATGTTTCAGCTATAAACTTTAATAGCCATGTCATATTCCTGAAAGAAAATGCTCTAAAATATTTGTATCTCTTACAAAAATTACATAGATCTTATTTGGCTACATCTTCCCATCTTTGCATGGAATAAGTTCTGTGGAATTATCAAAAATGAGTACATCTGCATGCTCTGAAAGCCATGCACAAATTACATATAAGTAATAATGTAAGGACATTTGTAAAGAATTTCTCATTTATACTTCAAGAATGGACATGACTAGCCTATAAACAAGAAAGACTTAAGAACTCCTAGCCATGTAAGAACTTAACAATAATTTCAGTTTCTAGTTTACAGTTAATGTACAATTTCAGCTTCTAGTTCAAAGTGGGTTTGGGGGAAGGTGCCTTTGAGTCAGTCTTTATTCCTAGCAACTACATGGGCTCCTGCAGTTTTCTTGGCAATTTTAGAAGTGGTTTGCCAGCTCCTTCTTCCTAGGTTTGAGGGAATGACTGGCCCAAGGTCATCCAGTTGGCTTTGTGCCTAAGGCAGGACTAGAATTCATGGTCTCCCAGCTTCTAGCCGGTGCCCCTAAGCACTACACTAAATTGCCAATTCCATTCAAAAATAGAAATGCTTAAAAAGGTATCTTGGGTCAGAGGAAAAAAAAACACACAGGAAAATTATCTTGACTAGTCTTTTTATCTAATTTCAGTAAACACTTCTACTTAGCTTGCCACGCAAATGTTTTTTGTTTCTTTGCTTTTCACATATGAATTCAGTACTGTATAACCTGCTTGTAAATTGGACTAGGGTATTTTTTTTTCTTTAACTTAAGCCCTTAAAATGCAGACAAAAATTGATTTTTTAAAGATATGAAATGGAATCAATAAGAATATTTCTTTTTACTGCCCATGTATTTAATAGATGCTAATAGTTTGGAATTTTAACATCTTTCAGGTACTGTTATACATGCACTACTCTCATATAGGTACATCAGGTTTGCTGGCCTGGAAGTAACATGTTGTTTCATGCATTTTAATATTGTTTATGAGAATTGATCATTGTAATGTTTGTGGTGGGTTTGCTCTTTATCTATTAAGGGAAAAGCCATATAAATTCTATTTTATTTAAAATACAGCCGCGTGTATAGAAGAAATCTTTCCTTTTTGTTTGGCTTTTCAATTTGCTTGCCCAGTCTCATTCTTAGGCTTTTCTAATAGGATTTTATTTTTGGGGGGGGGCACCTTATTATGTTTTGTTAACATATATGGATTACAGACTAGTTTATGCAAACAAGCAACCTCCTAAAATAAACATGAGCTCTGCCTGGGCAGCTGCGAATCCCACAAAGACAACATCTTGCAACAGCTCTTGTTATAGTTGAAGCTCTGAAGCATCCAGCTGTACATAGAGTGCTGGCTAGCCCAGTGCTTCTCAACCTTGACAACTTTAAGATGTGCGCACTTCTCCCAGAATTCCCGTGGCTAGCTGGGGAATTCTGGGAGTTGAAGTCCACACATCTGAAAGTTGTCAAGGTTGAGGAGCACTGGGCTAGCCCGATAAGCAGCCTCCGTACGACTAGCTGTAAGCTGGTCATCAAGTTGCTATGTCTTTGGGAAAGTCTATTTGAACAATACTGAAGTGCCAAAAGCCAACTGCCAGAAAAACCGCTGGCAGAGGCAGCAATCCCTTTACTAAACAAAGAGAAATACAACACTCTGGCCTGTCCTGATAGCATTTTATAGCTATTTGGACTGTTGTTGCTTGAACACAACAGATACTCTTAAAATAGTCTCAGTCCCTCTCTCTTGCATTTGAATGTTGAATGTGTCTGAAAAGATGCTTGCCCCCCCCCCCCCCCCCCCC